CGCAGCTGCAATATGGCACAGCTGGAGCCACGGCGGGGCTGCAGGTGGCATCTGAGCCTGGCTTGCAGGTAGCTGCTACTCTCAAAGGGGCTGCGACAAGGTGACTCAACACGGGAGCCAGTCAGTCTCCCTCCCATTGGGACGTTCACACGTGAGGGAGCCAGGCACGGCGGCATGCGGTGACCTGCACAGCATGGCTGGAGCCCCAGTTCCTGCCCTTCCTCTGCTGTTAGCAAATACCAGCAACCTCCTCTAAGGCAGAGTCTTCAGTAGGCAGCAGCATGGCTGGCCGTGTAGGCAGTATGGCAGGTCGTGCTGGACTCAAGAGACGCGATGGGGCTCATGTTTCCCACGCGCCTTGGCTTCGGGCGTCTCGTCATGTCTGAGCCGTCGGCCAAGGGATTTACCACAGCTTTCTGCGAGCCGCAGTACAACAGCTAGTGGCTGGGGGTCACGAAGAAGCAGTTTTAAAGGTTCACGAGTCGCCAGGAAGGGCAGGAAGTGTGCCTAATCTCCATCTCCGTCGTTTACCATATGCAGCTGGAGAGGAGTGTGGGTTTTTTTGATAAGTATGGAGCAACACAGACAAAACACATGGAAAAAATCACAGTGCTCAGCGGCTTTTTCCCAACTGGGGAGCAGTGAGAAGGAGTCAGGCTCCTCTGCAGAAGCGCGATACAAGGATGTCCAGCAGCAACGGACAAATGAGGGCTCATAGCAGGTAAGTCCTGTTTCATTTGCCTTGGACGCTATAGTCTAGTGGCATTGGTCAAAGCTAAAAGCACCCAGAGCCAAACCGCCGAACTCTTTCTGACGCTGCAGCTGACCCAAGCTAGTGTTTTTTCAGCCACCCTTGATGCCATTTTGTCACGCAGCACCTGCAAATCCTAGAGGAAAAGCTGCACTCACACAATCCATTGGTATTTATAACTTTTATTTGCAATACTTTAGGTCCAAGTTTCAAACTGCAATATTTTTACACTCAAGACACAGTCATGCACAATCCATATTTCAATTTTCTATTGCTTCAACCACAATTTAAAATAACTTAATATTGGAAAAAAAACCCAAAAACTTAAAAAAAAAAGGATGCTGAGGTCAGTAAGATGGATCCATGCCATCAGCACATTTACAAAGTAAATAACTTAGTTCTCTTTTTAAAAAGATCATAATTACCTCTTAATCCAAAGTTACAGAAGAATTTCACTACACATTTGTTTTTTAATCTTTTATCTTTTTCTTTTTTTCTGCTTTTTCTTTCTTTTTTTCTTTTTGCTTTTTTTTTTTTTAAACAGATAACACGTCCTAAAAAAGGAATGTACAGCAAAATGAGATACATTTCTGATAAACAATGAGAACGTAGGCTCCTCCTCTGTTTACTTGTGTCTGGATACCCTGACGGAAAACAACTAGCAGGCACCAGCGTAGGTGTAAGCCGGTCGCTTCAGCCTAAACCGGAGTTCAGCGTTGGTTATGGCCCGATCCAGTCAAGAGTTGCAGACTTTGTTTGCAGATCCTCCCGACTCGTGCGCCCGGGTCTGCGGGCGCTGCACCGGCCCGGGCTTTTTCTTGCGGATGGGCTACAGAGCCATTTAGCAGCATTGCTTAATACTAATAGAAACAGTGTGACAAAAAGCAATTGCCTTTGGGTATCCATAGCTCAAAGGTTTAAAAAAAAATCTCAGCAGGCACGGACCTAAGAGACTTGCGCGCTTCGGATTTGCTACATTGACCTGCTTCTGACCCGGACAGTATGGCATGGTGGAGGAAAAAAACAAAAATGATGGCCAACCTCCTGCCGCCTGCTTAGGCAGCCAGGGCCGCCCCCGGCCCCGGCACGC